CCCAGGACTGACCCCTGGGGGACACCACTAGCCACAGGCCTCCAACTAGACTCTGCGCCATTCACCACAAGCCTCTGAGCTTGGCCATCCAGCCAGTTCTCAATCCACCTCACCGTCCACTCATCCAGCCCACACTTCCTGAGTTTACCTAGGAGGATGTGATGGGAGACAGTGTCAAAAGCCTTGCTGAAGTCCAGGTAGACACCATCCACTGCTCTCTCCTCATCTACCCAGCCAGTCATCCCGTCATAGAAGGCTATCAGATTGGTCAAGCATGATTTCCCTTTGGTGAATCCATGCTGACTACTCCTGATCACCTTCTTGTCCTCCACATGCTTAGTGATGACCTTCAGGAGGAGCTGTTCCATCACCTTTCCAGGGATGGAGGTGAGGCTGGCAGGCCTGTAGTTTCCTGGCTCCTCCTTCTTACCCTTTTTGAAGGACCATCTTGACCATTTTTATACCAGTGGCTCACATGGTCAGCGCTGTTTGTCAAACAGTGCATGCCTATTGTCTTCCTTTTACTTGGTGGTTGAATGCCCGACATTTCACTGATGGCTAAGAGCTATATATACAAACACAACTCCTGTTTCCACAAGTTAAGACCAATAAAAGAGGTATACACTGTCAAAGAATAGCATTTAAGTTCAATGTATTAAATTCAATTTATTCAATTTTATTATTTATATAGCAGTTTAAAAATCTGTAATTAGGTAGTTGTGCACATCATTTCTCAACTGTGTTAGATATAAGGCTTCTGTGCAAGTTGCATCCTGAACCTGCACTTTCTTTGTGTTTGGGTGCGAGGCTGTCACCTGTGGAGCTTCCTTTCTGGAAGGCCCCAGAGCAGTAAAAATATGGGTGTCTGATTTTGTGAATATTCAGCTGGTTGAGTGAAATCCACTTGTTTTCATTCTTCCTTTCTCCTCAGCAGGTTTGTTCTGTGCTGTCAAATCTGTATGTGGTGTTTCTTCTTCATGCCATCCTTCTCTACTGACTCTTACTCTACCATACCCTTACTTGGATGAGTGAGAAGAGTGTTTCTGGTGAAGACAAGAACTGTATGCATTTCAGAGGTGAATGTCCTTGCTAGTGATCTAGGTGCTAGCAGGCAAACTGAAAGGAAGATGTGTGTTGTCTCAAGACATGCAGACTCCAACATGGCAGTCATTTCTATTTATTCTTTGCAAGCAGCTGAGTACTCATTTCTGGGCAGGCTGAAGGAGCACTGACCTTAAAATGTAAATTCTCTAGAAGTGCATCTCTCATGTACAGAGCAGTATGGCATAGAGATCCTGAGCTGGTCAGTCTGGTCAGTGTAGAAGCAGGGAGCACTAAAGCTACGTTAACTTAAGTACAGCTGTGTAGTGATTTTGCTCTTTCTGGCTTGAAATATACCTGAACTGATTCTGTATACATGTACAGTGGACCCTAGGCACCTGGGAAGAAGCTGCTTTTGATATAGGGACTCCTGACTTAAATTTCAGATGAATTTCCTGGGGCTGGAATCTGAGGTAGCTGCAACATCTCTTAGAACCTTCTAAAGAATTTGGAAGCACTGCAAACCATTGGCATGGTGGTCTTGTTGGAGGTATGGGAAAGAGGAGATTAGAGAACTGTTCAGTTTTTCACAATTCCTGTTTCTTTGCTATAACTTTCAATTCATGACTGCTGACAGACTTTAGCAAGGTAACCAGTACACGGCCTGCTCTTTTCCATTGATTCTGACCAGAAAGATCACATATAGGGAAATGCTGAGTAGTATACGGCAGTGCTGGTCTTTCTTTGGGTTGTGAGCTTGTGTGGGATCAGGTGAAAATTCCGAACTGTTTAGACTCTTTTGAAGCTTGTACTTTTGTAAGAAGAGTCTTTATAAAGATCCAGATCACTGGAGGTATCACATGCAGAAAGAAGGCCTTGGATTTCCCTGTGTATCTACTGTCCTTAAAAGCTGGCCGGTCACCAGCCACCCTCAGGCTGTTCTAGCAAGGATTTTTCTTTGCTGTTAACAGCGAATTTTTTTTCTCCTCTCCCTTTGCGCAAGGAAGGTGTTCTGCTGCGGAGTAAGCGATGAAAGCATCGTATTAGCTCCTTCTTGATGGAGCTCCAGAAGCATTATATAGTAGTCTGTGGAGCAGAACATGCTAGTGAGACTCTTTGCTTTTCAGTGGAATTAAGTGGCATTCGCTCAGGTACTGAGCATACTTGGGGGAGATGTGTGGAGACAGATCTTTTGCATTGGGACCATTTGCAGAGGCCCTGATCATAATCAGTTAGAAAATCAGTTAGCAACAAATCAAATAGGTAGGGCATGCTAATAAATCCTGGTCCTCCTTTCCTTTAGGTTAGCTGATCTGTCATTTATTTAGGTGTTAGTAGGCACATCCAGACAACGCTAGTGCCATTTGGATCAGGTGAGAACACCAGCCCATTTATCTACCATCTAACATGCTGGTTGCGGCAGGGTAACTATATTTAACCTGGCATAAAATGAGAATAGTGATAAGGTAACTGATCCTGAATGAACTCCTCTGGCAGAAAATTAACCCATCAGAATTTCTTGAACAAACCTGAAATGTTGTGGTCAGTACCTTATGTAGTTGTAGATTTCTTTTTTTCTTTTTTAACTGATCGGAAGTGCTCTAGAACTGGAATTACTGAATCATTGAACCATGGCTCGGGGCAGATGAGGCTTTGTAACTTGCTTGCAAATAAACCTTAGGCTTACTGCCTTGAACGGTTTGCACAGATACTGCACTCTAACTGAAAGCAGTATGATGATCCTGATGATATGTTGGGGACTAGAACTGCATGAGCGCCAACAGCGAAAAAAGAAGTGATTTTAATGAGACTTCAAATTGGAATTTTTCCAGGATTACATCTCTGTCTTTTTCAAGCATTTTTCTCAATGTTATTTGCATTCAGCATTTTATATCTGCTCACAACTCTTCATCCTTTTATCCCCTTCCTCTATATTTTTCCTTGTAATTTGAAAAGTACTTGTCCTGGAAGGAAGAAAACTTGGATTTGAACTGCTTCTGGAAGAGGAGAGCGAGATATTTAGAAGGTTCATGCTTTGCTGTTGTGTTGCGGGCAGGAAGCGCTGCTCAGAATTGTACCTGTGATCCTTCATTTTCTGTACAGATGGACTGTTTTCATCTCTGGCTCTTAATTGCTTCAGAAGATAGACTGGAAGGGTTTCTGGGTTAGTTCCATAGAGATGTATTCTGATTTGACAGAATACCAAAAGTACTGGGAGAAAGGGGATGGGAGAAATGCCTGTGCAGGCTACTCCTGGGAGAGAACGGAAACAGAGAAATGGAGTAAAATGTTTTTAAAGAAAAAACCCGCAACCAAAGAAAAAGACCTCTCCTTTTAATCCCCCCCACCCAGAGAGTCCCTTTCTCTCCTGCACAGCTAGTGTTTGTGTCTCCATTGAGATCACATGGTGGGTGGTCACAGCCTTCTGCTCTGTGCTTCTTTCAGTTGGGGTGTGCGGAATCAGAGCTGCAGGGCAGATGTTCCTTTCCCTAAAGGTCCCCCCTGTAACTGTATCTTACCAGGTATGCGCTCTTCATAGGCTGAGGTCCTGTCCTCACCTCATCTCAAAGAGTTGCTGTTCCCTTTCCTGTAGGCTTTGTTCTGGAGTGCGTGGTGCTTTAGGAAGGTGCTGCCATGTCTGAATGCTCTGCTGAAACATGGCACTTAATGCGCTCCACTTCCCTCTAGCAACTCTTAACAAAGGTATGTGGCTGTGCTCACCCGGTGCATCTGCAGTGGAGCTTACTACCCGCATTCGTTTTGAGGGAAAGCCTGACCATAGCTGTCAGTGTTGGGCAATGCTGAACAGACTGAGCCAAGACAGCAAACTTATCTGATGTGTGAAGTCAGGCATTATGGTCATGGGGAGTGCTCTAGGTTGAGGGCCTGCCCCATGCCTCAGGTTGCTCTATAGCATGACAAGGGAGCCTTGATGGCCCAAGAGGTGAAGGGTTCAATTTTAGATCTTTAAGTCTGGGCTGAATTGGCCCGAAAGTGAGGTAAGAATTTGCATTACTGTAGTGTTCTAGCATTTTTTGGCTCACTGCTATTTAAGTTTTGATCCCATTGCTTGCTTGAGCAGGGACTGTGGTATGAGAAGGCAGCTCAGGTTTGTTCTCTCCCTCTTCCTCATTGTCCCAGTGGTATGGCTGCGCTGAGATTTACAGGACTTGAACGGGTAGTACATGAAGTATGCTCTGCCATCTACCAGTAAACTTGTAGTACAGTTTCTCCTGTAAAATGTTAAACCTGGCATGCATCTGACTAAGCTATGTATCTTTCTCTGTTCCCTAACATCTAAGACATGCTGCTTTTCAGTGTAAAGGATTCCTGATTTTGCTTTTTGTGTGAAGGCATGCAGCCTTAACAGTGTTAAAGGGAGGACATTGTGCTGTTTGGCATGCTCCTGATAGGAGAAAGGTGGCAGACTAGAGCTCACGTATAGGTGAGGGCTCATTTCCCTTGCTTCAAAGTGCCATTAGCAGTCATAAAAGTTCTGTGGTTTTGCTTTATTTTGGTCTCAGCTGCAGCCCTTGCAGAAGGGAGGGGCAATACGACCTATTCTGAAAAATACTGATTGTGCTTTTTTATTTTGTTTCCAGGGCCCAGTCATTTACGCGCAGTTAGATCACTCCGGAGGACAGCACAGCGACAAGATTAACAAGTCAGAGTCTGTGGTCTATGCTGACATTCGGAAGAACTGAGAGGAGATCCTAACCTATCCAAAGCAAAACACACATTCAGACTGGAATTGCTTGAACAAAATTTGACCCAGAGAACTCACATGTGGCCTTTGATGCCTAGGCTAGGACCAATGCATGTGCATACAGAGGGAAAGATATATATGTATTGTGTGTAAATAGTCTATTTAATCGTACAGAAGTGAGACCAGTGTTGCATGTTGAAATGCGGTAAGAATTCTGCTTATACATTGCCAGTATTCTTTTTTGTATCTTGTATGACGAGAGAGAAAGTGAAAACTTGCATCACAATTTTAAAATATTTTTATCTTGATTATTAATGGAGAAACTGGAAGATGCCTGAAGATTCTAGATTGACCTGGAGATTCTTTTTTTGCTTATGGGGCCTAATTTTTCTTAGTGGGGAACCTTCAGAGGGTACTCATTTTCCCTTGGTCAGATTCTCAGTACAAGCTACCTTCTTAAATAAACTAGACATTTTCACTCAGTCTTGTTAGCCAAGCTGTGACTTCTAGCTGTCAGAAATGTATGTCTTACCTTTGTAAGTGAAGGAAACTTTTAGGCCTATTTGACCTGTGTAACACAGGTCACAGAATGGTTTACTTCTGTATTGAGCCCATATACTCAAGCTTAGTTCTTTGAGGTACGGGGATAGTGTTGGTCTATCAGATTTGTGAAATGGTAGTTTACTTGTGAAAACTTAAAGAGCTAGTGAGTTAAGAGGATAGGAAGCTACAGCTCTAGGTGACTGCCTCAGATTCTGTTGAACCTTTCAATTAAATGTTTCTTCTCTGAAACTCTTGTCATTTCATATAAGCACAAAAAAGGGTTCCAAGGGATCTTGAAGTTACACTGTTACCTCAGCTCTCCCTCACGGCTCTGTTATACCTCTGTCACTTCCTTAGAGATGTTTTTTCTGTCTTTAAAAACCTCTAATGCAGGCCGAATGACCTCTGGAGGCATCTACGGTTTCACTCTGGGTTTTTTTTTTTTTTTTTTTTGGTGATATGACCTGTCTTTGCACAGAGGATGTGGAGGACAGTTTATTTCGTTCCTCTTTGCAAGCGTACTACTTGAGCATTATTTCCGAGCTTTTTGTTTCTAGATTAAACTCCTCATAAATTGTTACAGATTTCTGATCATTCTTTTCTGCTGAAGAGGATCTTTCTCTTTAGCTGATCTGTTTGTATCCTGAAATCTGATGCTCAAAACTAGAAATGGCATCTGAGCTGAGGTCATATCAGAGTAGTGTATAGGAGAAGGATCTCTGTTTTGTACATCCTAATGTGATGTTGGCTTTTCTGTAGCAGTAAGTCATGTTCAGTTTGGTTGCTATAACCCCTTCCCTCTGATTCTTACTATTTCCTCGTGCAATCTGTTTGTCTCTACTGAAATTCTATTATGGCTTTTTCATACCTCGTCTTTGACTTGTCAGATAAACTTGCTTTGAATTCTCATCCTGTCCTCCAGTGAGCTTGTAACCCTCTTTAGCGTGATATCTGCAAACTTAAGCTTGCATTCCACTGTATCATCAAGTAAATGAAAAACGTTTAGTTTAGGCCCATGGCAAACCCTTTTGGAATTGCTTTAGAGAATTTGACAGCGAAACTTTAATTGTGACAGTGAAACTTTGATAACTATTTCGACTGAAGTGCATTTTTTTCCCCAACAAAGTTGGGTACACCAACTGTATATTACTTTGTCAGGATCATGCTTTGTTTTCTGACAACACCTGCCTTTGTTAGAAGCCTTGTTAGAAGCCTCACTAAAATCAGGATGAGTCCTGCTGCTGCTTTCCCTGTCTAGCAGGCTGTTAACTCCCCAATGTTTTACACTTAGCTAGAAGCAGAAGCTGTTGAGATGGTTGATTGAAAAACTTCATTTTGATCTGCACAGTCTTTCTCTCCAGACATTTTGGAGTAAGAGAAACGTGATGAACTGAACTATCAAAAACCACTGCTATGAGAAGACAGGGCTGGCCGTGGCTCTGCTGTTGTCTGCTACTAATGTTTTCTTATGCTGGAATACACTGGAAAATCTGAGCACAATCCTGTTACTTCTGGTGCTGACTTTAGGAAACATCTTTCATTGCTTTTGATTAGCTACAGGTATATGACTATAGCCTGTACTGAGGAGGCTCATTGCAAGTCTGTTTGGATCCTCTTTGTGAAGGCATAATAAACTAAGTAGTATTTTTTTTTAAATGCTGGACTCCATTTTAGAAAGAAACCAACTCTCTTACCCCCAGGAATAGCAGAGCTCAGTCTGAATCCCTCTCTAGTCTGAAGGATGTTGAATTCATTTTTTCATGGAAATGTGAACAATGTTGCTTGGCTGGAATAGACAGCTTCTACAATGCAGCTGTTAAAATAACTTATACAGGCTGAAGTCAAAACAACTTGAGGCAATATGTGACTAAAAGTGCTGTGAACTTTCTGTCTCTCTGGGTACTTTAGCTTTTTTAATCAGATCTGGTAACTCTGTGCTGGTGAAAGGGACTGATGCTAAGTTGGTTAGCAAGGTCTCATGTGACAGAGGACTTCTACTCCCTTGATGGGTAGCAGGTAGAAATTAAAGCCAGACAGTAGCATCAGATCCTGGTGTTTTCACTGACCAGAAATGTAATTTCACTGACCAGAAATGTAATTCTGTTTTCTCTGCTGCTGTCCTCTTAATTCCCTGATGCTTTTTCATATGTGCAAAGGAACAGCTTGGACTTTGCAGAACGTTATTTTTGTCATCCTTGTCCTGCTGCAGTACTGCTGCTAGATCTTTTTGGGACCATGCCTTATTTAAAAAAAAAAGGAGGAGGGAGAAGAAAAAGAAAAAAAGTGTAGTGGGCAGGCTTGCTGAAGCACTGCTCAGTGGCAGACAGACTCTCTTGAGGGAGTAACAAATGATAAAACTGTTCATGTGGGTAGTAACTCTTGGATAACGGAGTTGGGGAGGGTCTGTGTGACATAAAGGATTTACAGTGAATTCTTTATTTGTCATGCAGGTTTTAATGCACAGTGACGCAAAACTAGCATCAATCTCAAATGCATTCTTCTGCTGTGAGGAAAAAAAGGTAATTTACATGTAAAGCAGACCTTGCAGTCATTGTAGGAGTGCTGTTTTGGATTGCCATCTCGGGCTCTGGCCGCTAAGCCAAGTTGCGCCCCCCCCTAGAGACAGGAATATAGAAGACGTCGTTCGTCTTTGCCTGTCTTTTCCCCTCTGTTTCTAACCAAAGTGCAAGGTCAACGTGAGGAAAATCTACTTTCCTGTGAGGGTGACTGAGCACTGGAACACATTGCCCAGAGAAGTTGTGGAGTCTCCTTCCTTGGAGATACTCAAAAGCTTATCTGGACACAACCCTGGGCAACATGCTCTGGGTGACCCTGCTTGAGCAGGGGGGTTGGACTAGGTGATCTCCAGAGTTCCTTTCCAACCTCAACCGTTCCGTGTGTGATTCTGTGGAAAAAAGTTTTGCCTTTGTACTGACAGTGGATATACCCTTCCCTATTTTTGATTACCAGAAAATGATGAAATGAACTATAAGGTGTGAATTTGAGTAAATCAGCAGCTGCACTCAGTACATCAAATCTCCATTGCCCCTTTTGAACTCAGCAGTTGTTCTGTAGGGAAGATGGTCAGCATGTTCATTAAATAGCATTAAGAGCCATTACAGGGTAGCAGATGTGTCCCTGTAACTAATTGCATGATGTGTCATTTCTAACTGGAGACCTGTAGGGTTTTGTTTTCTCTCAAAGCTTTAGTGCTATTTCAAATTGTGACTAGGAAAGCTGGAATTAGGTTTTAAACTTTTTTAAACCTGTGAGAACTGTTTAGGTAACGATCTGTCTTGTAACTAACTGCAGTAAATGTGTATATGCAACTTAGAAGCTGCATTGCCTTAGAGTGGATTCATTGAGGTAAAGTATGGGCTGTTTGATTTAGAACCAAAATACCCTCAGTCTATTTTGAAATCTTGTCCTGGAATTTCACATTATTCATTTATCAGCCTAGGACCTCAAATACAAAATGTTCTTATTGTGTACTAGGTGGTGAAATTATTTTTTCTTTAGAACTGTCACGGTGAGGTGGGTAACCTTTCTGGGCTGTGGCCACAGCCCCGTGGTGCTAATATCTAGGTAACAATTTATATGGGAGACTACAAAATCATAATATTAACTATGCTCAGCAAGTATGCTCTTTTTGAGGCTTCTCTTTCCCCTCTCCTTAGTGCCCTAAAGCTAATGAGCCCTTTTATTTAAAGATATTTTTGCACTCTCTAAAATGTAAGCTCAATGCCTTTTGAGATCAGTGTGCTATACAATCTTTCTGTCTCCCTACAAAGCCAGCTGCTCTGTGTGGTAAATATAATTGGAAACAGATAGACCAGATACTTTACTTTTTGTAAACCTCTATCTTGGAGGTATGCAAGGGAACAAACACCTATAAGATGGGTGTATAATCTGTGTGAGGGAGCTAGATATGCATTGCATGGCCTGATTACACATAAAGTGCCCGCGTAGCAACTGTTTGTGCTTTTGCTTTTTCAGACTCACCTCGAAACAGTCATTGTGGATATTTTTTCTTGAATGGATTTTCATGTTTTCTATTGTAATCTTGTGAATATTTTAATACACTCTTTTCCCATTACTGGTTTGCTGGACAAGTCTCATCTGGTTAGGGACTGCAATGGTAGGGGGACTGAAATACACCATCTCTCTTTCTAGCAGTATTTTTCAGTTGCTGTGGTCACTGTCAGCTCAGCAAACAACACAGAGCTGGAGAGTTCACCATTTGAATTAATACTCAGAATTACCACTTAAGCTAGAACTAAGAAGTGCAAGTGAAACTATTTAAGGCTACACTGAAAGTCTGTAGCAGAAACAAAGAGCGAGCTTCATGGCAGGACAATGTCTGGAAAAGGGGATCTGGCAGAGTATCTGCGATATCTTACTAAGCAGAAATGTCTTGCCAGAAGAAAGAAATGCTTCTTTACTGCCGGGCATAAATACTTTGCACTGGGTAGGACAACACACCATTACACAGAGGGTGAGAGGGAGAGAACTTCAGTGCCACAGCTCTTGTAACTGTAGAAAAGTTTCTTTTCCTCCCCACCACTGTCATGCTGTTCTTTGGTAACTCAAAAGGGATTGCAGGGAAAGAAGGGAGAAGATTTATTAAGAGGACGTGGCAAAACTCCACTCTTTCAGACATCCATTTTATTGAATACTGAAGAAGCTACTGTCTCTCAGTTGTCTTTTTCTCCTGAATCTAAAGCTGCAAGCTCTGCTGCTGACTTACTTCCAGCTTTGGAGGAAGGGGTCACTGTGACAGCGCACCAGAGGAAACTGATGCCATGCTCTGAGCACAACTGCCTTACGCTTTTCAGTGACGGATAGGCTCTTGCAGCGTAACGTATAGCCTTTGCTCTGAAGTGATTTTGTACTGGCACATTGTTCTCTGGAGTAAGTAGGGAAAGCTTAAATGTTCATGCATAAATATGCCACAGATGGGAGCAGACCACTGCTATCTCCCTGAGATGATGGTGTTTGTTCTGAAGTATATGTTCTCTGAGTGTACACTTTCACATTAAGAGTGAGCGAGTGAGCGAGTGTGTGTACTTAAGGGGGGCTGGGGAGTAAGTACTAGAAGTTTTGGCCGTTTACTTTTCACATTCCCCAAAACAAGGTTCTTAGATGTGACCATCTCTGCCTCTAGTTGTAGAGGATGACAGTAGCTAAAACAACACTGGACAGATACAGGCTAGCCCTCCTCTTGACAAAGATGGTGGTGGCTGGGAAACAAATGAAGATGCACACAGCTGAAGCTGAAAAGAGTATCCTTAAGCTACCAAGGAAAAGCAGCAGGGAATGATATATAGATGTCACTGGTTATGGGAAGCATGGTAAAACCCCACCCAGGTCTCACTGTGACATGCAACGCTTCAGTTTGAGGTTCTGGTTGATAGTCATCCACACCACACTACTCCTGGCACTGTTCAGTAGAGCCAGATAAGGTAATACAAGACACAATCCACAATCTGTTTCTTTTAAAGAGACAATGTAACTTCCCTAATACAAACACAAGACATGCAAGTTTACTTAAATTTAAAAGGTTGCACTTTATTTAAATGCATAGAGTTACTTAGTTATTTGCACTTAGAAAACTTGCTCGCTAGACGTTTAGACTTCCTCTTTCATTACTTAGAGGAAAAAGATTAAAATTAGTGAAGCTAGGTCCCACTGGGAAGGGTTTGTGCGTAGTGGGTTTGGGCTGTAGGGTTAAGCATCCTTTTGCTGCAACTGCTCTTGTTTTGCTTTTAGCTCCCGATTATACCTATAGCGAAAAAAAAAAAATCCAACTAAGAATACAGGTTAAATTATAACAACAGTGTCTTCATAACAACGTGGTCAGCAAAGGAGGTTTAAGATTACAGTGGACTTGAAGGTGGAAACTCGGGACAGGCTAGCTTATGTAAAAAGCTCTCAATTAGTTGCTAAGTTTTGCCTCGTTCCTGGCCAGAACTGAAAAATCCAGAGAAGTCCAAATCTTCCCTCAAGAAAGAACTGTTTTTCAGATGCTGCTTTGCTTAAAGACCTCTTGATGGTCCAGCTAGAACTGACATTCAGCACTGAAAACTGACACAAGTGCAAAGCTTATGCATGGGAGAAAGTTTGGGCTTTCTGTCAATCAGACATACAGCTTTTAAAGAATGCATTAAACCCAGAAACTACAGCTTAAATAGAGCATTCCTTAACACACGCTCTAGTTATACTGAAGATACTGGGAAGCTTCACTGCTCCTAAACCGGGAAAGTAAGACTGTAGCACAAAAGTTCTGTGTTGTTTAATTGCTTGACTTCTCTTGCATGTTGCACTGCCATCAAGGCAGGGGGGAATTTTTACGTTCATGATTAAGATTGGGTAGTATGAGAGCTTATTTAAAATAGCAAGTGGAGAGCAGCCCTTATTACATACCTCCATATTCGGAAGAGTTGAGAACCACCAGCACAGCCAACAAAGAAGTTCACAGCAAACAGGCCCCAGTTTTTAGGGATAATAACTAGGGAGTACCTTGACCAAATAAGGCCTGTTGAATGAAAAGGAAAGTTTAAATTCCCAACTGGAGTAATCTTTAAACTTTCCTCTAAGTTTAGAGACAGAGCCATGGGCCAGTTTAAGTAAATAAATTTTATAACCATGTTAGACAATTGCTTTTCTAAAAATGTTTCTAACTGAGAAACAGCTAAACAGCAGTGGGAGAGCTACTGGTATATATTACATTTTTCCAAAATAATGCAACTAGAAATAACTTCAACCATAGTCTTAATATCAAATTAAGACTATGTGTACTCTGCAACAGTCTTGACACTCCCTGTGTACTCTGCAACAGTCTTGACCAATAACTTCAACCATAGTCTTAGTATCAAATTAAGATCCCTGTGTACTCTGCAACAGTCTTGACCTTAATTCTCCAGCACAGCTGCAGGGTAATGGCATTTTGCTGTAGAATATCCACCCTGACACACCAGTTTAGAGATTACAGAATGGATCAGTAAATAAAATATTTACATATCATGCAAAACAGCACTGTGTCAGATTTCAAAATACAGTTCAGAGAAGGAAAAAAGTATCACCTGTAGTTTTGATTTTAGCTTTAGCTGCCCGCTCCCCCAAGATCGGGTAGAACAAGTTGAATATGGAATATTGGTTTTGGCAGCACAGAAACTCATGGCAGATAGTAGTGCAGCAATCTGTATACCAGTGCTTCCGAGTCCTTTTAGTACATGGAAATTCTTTCCAGTTGTGTTAGTATAATTACCCTAGCATTGTTTAATACCTTGAAGTCTGCTCTATAAAAAGGCACTACATTCTGGACTGATTTCAAAGTTACTTGACCTGAAGTGAAAGAGGACACTTACTGGAATGAGTGACATCATTGTCACTTAAGGGATGAAACTCATAACAATTCGCTGTGCACAATTCCAAATTAAGATAATTAATTTTTTTTTAAATTAAGATAATAAAAGTGGATTTATATAACTTTCTATAAGTGGATTCATACTAGCAAGGAACTTGGAAAGAAATGGGTACAATTTTAGACAGGGTGCTGCGTAAAAGCATGGAGCTTTCTTTACCTGTGGCCATTAATACTGCAGACTGTGCTGTGCTCAGCTTCTCTGCTGGTCTGGTCATATCAGCCATTCCAGCACATACCAAACCCTGCAGAGAGAAATTCAGTGAGCCTAAATCCAGTACCAAGACCTACTGTAAACGATGCAAATGCTTTACAAGGGAAAGCTGTTTCATAGCTCAGTGCTTATTCTACATGCATTCTATATGTGCTGTATGAGTGGAGTAATTAGACTCTTGGAGATACTATCCACTTCTAGTCCCTTGTGGTGGGAATAAGAACAGATATGGGGGTGCACTTAGGAACAACTGGCAATAGAATTGGAGGCAGTGACAACTTTGCATTAGTTTAAGAACAAGGTTAATTTAAGTATAGAGCTTTCCCTTTTGCAATGCTCTAAGCACAAACTGGTTTTCACATAGCAAGTGAAAGCTTGTCTAAATACGATCCTTTTATTGGTTCTTCCTAAAGCTTAGATAACATAGGTAAAGGTGTAGCTGTGACACCATGTTGTTTCCTCTCAGCTTCATCTAAGTAGGTAAAAGCAATTATTTTTTAATATAACTTTATTAAAAGCAGAAGTTTCCTCACTTCCAAGTGAAGTGAGGAATAACTTGGCTAATCTACTTGAGAACACTGCTAGCCAGTATGCTGTTTGGTTTGTTCTGTTGTGTTACTGCCCTCTACTGGAAACAATCTGATGTTCTGTTACAGGTGTTCACTAAAAATGAAAACTAGCTTTTAATTTATTGACTGCGACTAAAGACTCCTTTGGCTCCAGTCAAGAAGCCAGCTTGTACAGCTGGAAACTTGTTTCTGCTATACAGAGGAAAAGTCATTCCAATTTCTCAGTGCAGGACTTCACTGTGAGCTTAGAGTGGTCTTCCTTCTTTTTTGACACAGCAGCAGTCAACAGCAACCTACTCAAAAGAGTAGCCTTGTATGCTCAGGCTCGAGAGCATGTTGCCTGGCCACCCTCTAAGAAAGGAGAAGGTTAACCATGGTTGCTGCAGCTCCAGTTTAGATTGACAAAGAAAATGAGCTACAGCATAAGAGAGCTTAATATGCGTAGCCTAAGATCTAAAAAAAAAGCTGGGGTTCACAGTAGGAAACTCAGGAGCCAGCTGTCAATAGGAAGAACAGGTTATATCCTTTCTTGTTATCATGTTATCAAACAGGGAGATCAAGAGCTTTATGATATTAGAGCTCACTTATTTTATCTTTACCAATTCAAAAATTAGAGAAAAGTATAGTGAATTAGGATTAGGCATATACCTCAGTTGTGCAGACACAGCCAAGTGATGTAACCAATTGGGAAGCAGAACTGCATGAGAAATGGCAGCTGCCTTCCCCCTCCTTTTTTTTTTTTTTTAAAGCAGCAGAGCCAAGTAATGCATTGGGTTTTAAGAAAAGCTCCTGTTAGTCTACATCCTATAGTGCATGAGCTACAGGAGTCAAACTCAGTTGTGATCTATGTCCACTGCTACCTGCACATGCATCTTGTTCAAGATTACCTTCCACTCTTACCCACTTTAACCTGCCCTCAAGCTATAAGGCTTAGAAACTTACCTCATGATACTCTTCAAATTCTTCAACCTCAGAAGAAATATCAGCTTCAACAGTTTTGAATTATGCCAGCTCATCTCTACCTTGAGCAGCAGTTAACATTTCCCAAGAGAGAGTTTTAAGAATTTCACTGGAAGTTTCCCAAAAAAAGTTTTCACAAAGCCTTATTCTTTTTCCCCTGCATCCTTATGGTGTGCTATATGTTATTAGGGCTTTTTTTCCCCTCTCCATACATTAAACATTAAAGCCTCAGCATTAAATTCTTCAGTAGGCTCAGATATCTGCTGCGAAACTACTGCTTGCCCAATGAGTTGCTGCAAAGAGTCTTCTGATTACCATCCAGATGCCAGATAGGATCTTATACTTACCCATTTCATAACAGGTGCCCAGAAGAACACTGTTTTGGGACCTAGGGGAGTGAGGAAAAAAAAAAGTTAAACTATTCAGTGAGATATAGTTGTTTTGAAGCCTTTAGCAAGTTTTTAAATAATGAAGTGTGTACATTAGCATAGTTTCCACCACTGTACAAGCACTATCACCTAATCATATTTCATCAGCTCAGTGCATCAGCCTTCAGTTACGTAACCAGTCTGCTTATTTCTGCAACAGGTGAACGCGATTTTATATTTTATTTTTAAGCAAGTGAGGAAGCTACAGCAGGCAAAATGCATTTACAATGAAAGACAAAAGTTAGGATCAGCCCCAGGAATAGTGAAAACAGTTTCTATATAATGATTAAAAAGTACTTCTATCTAACGATTAAAAAGTACTCTAGAACTAAACTAACAGAGTTAGTATTTGAAATCTTTGTGAACTGAATCCCCAAAATATTTTATTACTGACACTGTAGTAAGTGTGAGTAATAAATAAATAAATCACAGCCCATCTCTTGGTGCAACAGACATCTTGCCCAGCAGTACTGGGTGGTTACAGAAATAGTGCTACCTGTATTTGCAACTTGCACTAAGCGTGACAAGGAAAGCGTCTTCATGCACCTCTAATCTGCATCTCTGAATACCCCTGTCTTTCTAGCAGAAAGAGTGCTCCCCACCCAATCAAGCCCCCTATTAGTCTACCCAAAATGAAAGGAGGGTTATGGGGGAAATCTATGGGATGAAAGGGAGGAAAAATAAGTGGATTTGGGGGGAAAACATCTCTCCTACAAGTACATACATGCTGCAGTGGTGCTAAAACTGCAAATGGTTGAGTAAAACAGTACTGTTATGCCACACCTATAATCCACAGGCTGTCAGCCACACCAGAAATCACTAAGCAAGGGCTATTACTCCATGTCTTAAAGAGGGACCACGACCCAAAATATCAACCCATAGCACTGCAATAACAGTTAGGACAGCGGGGCTGAATTAATCAAAATATGCTAAGTTTTAGGTCTTGCTAGGCCATTGCTCAGCATTCAGATTACATGCAAGATGAAGCCAAATTTTCCCTTTAATATGTTACATATTATGAGCCAGCACTTTGACATATAAGTGACAGACATTAGGACTTTGGTTGCTTGCTTTTTATGTGCGCCAATTTTTCTCTAACAATATAGCCCTAAAAAGGCGTTGCAGTAACTGTTTATACTCCTTCTTTTAAGCAGCCTCTAATCTGAGGCCAAGATTTGGGAAAAATTAACTGACAGGTTTCTGCAGCAAGCACCTATGAAGTAACTCATAATTGTGAGGATAAGCCTTATTGCTGCAAGTATCAGTTGCTGCATCACCTTAAAGCCAACTAAGCCCTTCAAAAGGGTAAGGCACCTGGAACACAGAACGCAACAACAAGTGGCTTGGCAGCTTTACATAAAAGCCCTCTTAGGCCCACACTGCTTGAGATAGTGATCAGGTTTCAAACTGCAGTTAAAAACTACTGTCAGATTACTTTATGCATTAAGAACATAGAACATTTCTTCCCATGCAGAATTTCTTAGGATGCATGGGACTGGGCAGCCACTAGGACTTTCTCAAACTCTTGAATAAATACAAGTCAATATTTATGCTTGAAAGATGTAAACTTGAGTTATTTTCTTAGACAGCTACTTAGTGTTTTATAGCTCTTTATAAATCAGTCTAAGTCTTATAAAGGTCCCATAAAGGTGGCTTTAGTTACTATTATCAATTTTCTTCTAAAACACAAATTCAGATTCAGGACACTGAGGAATGTAGGGGGAGTATAAATTATTAAATCAACATTCCCTAAACAACTAGTAAAAGTTTCAAGAATTACATTAATTTTTATAAACAATAAATTGATAATTTAAACCTACTGACTACAAAAGTAAGAGAAACAGTTTGAGACAAATAAGGTACCAAGACAAGCTTGTTACATGGAAAGACTGTTAAACTGTGTAAGCGGAATACCTCTCCAGAAGATACTCCAGTTAAGGAGAATTCCCCAGCCAGAGGAAGCCCTTCCTAGACCATGACAGCCAAAATTTTTCAAAGATGAATTTTACAGCAGTGTATCAGAGCAGGGACTTACCAGAGGTTGATCTGGGTACCATAAGCGTGACCAGTATTGTAGGACTTATAAAATATATTAAATATAACAAGTTTTTGTCCTAGGGAGTTTACAGTTTAATCAGGCAAAGTGAATGAAAGAGGCCAAAAGGACGAATACAAGCTCAGCCCTGCACATCTCTGGCTGCCAGAAAGGATGTTCCTCCTTCTGGGGCAGCCAGCAGGCGGCCAGGGGAGTTGATGTTCTCTACCCCTACTCTAGGCCCTTCACTGTCCTGCAACAGCCTTGCTCTGCGCAGCACCAGCTGCAGGAACTGCGTGTCAAAGCAGGCATCAATTATTTCACCGGAAGCTTTTTGTGCCAGAAAAGAAACATTCTTCATCCACTGCAAGTGATTTATAACTTCATGACAATAACACTATTCCTAAAGTAGACATCATCGAGAAAGAAAATTTGAGTCTTTCATTTCTAACCTACTTGTTTGCAGTCAATGTGACACACATTGCGTAACTTTCTGAAAGACCTACCTTTAAGACAAATCAATGCTGAAATAGAAATGGCAGATAGAAATGGCAGCAGTTTGGTTTTCATACCTGTTTGTTCTATGGCTTTTCTGACTAAAACCATCAATACAGATTATGGCAGTTGTTCTTCTAACTGAAATAAACATACAACATACATATACATACACACACACTGAGGCCCTAAAAACAGATTTCTTTTTTTTTAATCTCAGCGTTGTGATGGTGAACAGAAGTGGCCTGCAGACAGTTCTGTGAAGCAGAAAGCAGTGTAAGAGAGCCTCCAAAGCCTTTTTAGTTGGTACTGCAGTTCTGATGAAGAACGAATACAGATGTTCCCACTGCTGGCCGTGCCTCATATTCGAGATAAGCAATTTAAAGCTGCCTTGTTTCAGATAAGATGAACGTGGCTCTCAAAGGTTTGGCACCTTTACACTAGAAGTGCTGGACATATTGATTCTGAATACACAAAAGTTACATTAAAGTTAAATTGTTTAATTATGATTTGTTTAAACCAACAACTTTCATTTCAAGAGAAGACTGTTAAGGGAGGATGGAGCAACTGACTAAAAGCTAAAGTCCATTTTCACAGTGCAGATTCCAGGTAGGTGAAGAGTCAAGGACGCACATCACACTCAAATAAAACAGTGGAAACATCAGCCTATGGAATTTTAGAATTTTATGAAGCACTCTGCTTACCTGCCCTATTAAATTTGTTTACAGGACAACTATCACCTAAACGGTACTGAAGTTCATTTTACAAGAGGTTTCTCCCTAGTAACACAAAAACATGTTTACCTGAGCAAATATAAGCTTTAGGTCAGGTAAGGGTAGTGCAATCCAGGAAAACTCAAGCCCTTCCTTTCCTACAAGAGTGCTTAATCGACAACAAGGGCCTCATAAATGCTGTAAGTTCTCTTCATTGGAAGTAGCAGCTTTGGAAGAAAATGAAGGCTTAAAATGGACTGTAAGATCAGAAAACCTTGTTACACTCCCCCTCCTTTTCAGCATATCCATTTGAAAGACATGACTGCTAAAGCATTCAGGCCTGTTTTGAAAACGTGGTATCCTCTGCACTTGGGAATAGCTAGGCCAACTGTTGTCCCAACTCAGACCAGGTGACAGCATCAAAGCACACTCGTGCATTGCAGGGGACTGGAATAACAACTGGTGGCGTGTCTGGCTTTTTTTTTTTTTTTTTTAAAAGTAAGGAAAGTTACCCCTTTAACTGACAGGAGCCTACACTTCAGTAGTTTCCCCCCCTCCTTGTAAGAGATACAGCAACATAGCTATGACTCCCCTGCCCCCTTTTCGCCTCCCTGGGCGCCCTCAGCACGGAGGACCCCCTCCAGCGGGCCCTGCTGCCCAGCGCTGCGGCACCGGGGGGTCTCGGCGCACGTTGGGGGGGGAGGGAGAAAGAAACACTGGTCACCTCGCCCGCAGCC